AATATAATAATGCATGTTCTTTTTTTTAACAATCTCTGCTCTTACTCTATGTGATGCAATGTACATCCTTCTAGAAAAATAGCGTTCTAAGCCTAGTTGAACAGATGTCGACTCTAGTAACACTATTCATGTCCCTTTTTTGTCCTCATAAACAGAAGAATGGGCCACCTTATAGGATACAATCTTTGCTTCTTTTGCACAACGCTTTTTGGTCTATGAAATTTCTCTAGAAACTAGAGCCGTTGCAGATTCCAGCGCTTGTGGTGTTCTGAAGAGAACAGCTTGCATGATGGTCATTGTTATTTAACATCTGGGTATTGTATACACGAGGTACTGGTAATTTTGTAACGTTGTCTCCCTGAGCTGGTGACGTTTTTTTCACATTATTACATGTTGCACTCTACACAACTTCATTATCTCGATCTCAGTTTCCAACGCCTTTTAGTAGGGGATAGGGACTTCTTCATGCGAGTTGTTTCATATTAAAGAGAAAAAAAACTAATAAACATTATTCACGTAATGGTACTGTTTTAATTTGAGTACGAGTTGCATTTGCAACACAATTAGGCCAGAGGCTATACGGGGTAAAGATTAGAGGTATTACTAGAGAATAAAATGCAAAGAAGAGAAAATAATAATTATAATAGATGTTTGACAGGAGACATATTATAGCAAACCACACAAGAGCACTAACCAACCATGTCCATACCCACCTGTATGGTACTATCCATCAACCATACCCACCTGTATGGTACTATCCATCAACAAGGGGAGTTAAACTCTTGATTAATAATATCTAAGTGTACATATATGCTATATCTACTTTGCCTTCTTTGCACTATTTTTCCTTCTTTCTTTTTTTCTTTCTTGTTCATCCGTACTCTTGCCATTGAGGAGAATGTTAAAGTTTAAACTGAACTATTTGTGTTCTGTGGGATTTTGATGCCGCACAAGATCAGAACAACAGTTAACTATCTTTTCTGTAATTCTGTGATCTGAAAAAAAGATACTCGCAAATTTGACAAGGCTCAGTTGGATACAAGCCGTAGATTTCAACAGGGAGGGTTCATTCCAAGGGGGAGTAAAAGTACACCCTCCCCCTTCCTCCCCCCCCCCTACACACACACGA